GCAAATTTTTCACGCGCCAGAGCTTCTGGCTGGTTAGATGAGCAAACCTTGCTGAAACTGCTCAGGGGTTGGCTTACCCTTTCCTTTGAGCGTGTGTTATGCAGCCATGCACATTTTGAAAGGCTGCTGCATGTGTTTCCAGAGACCTCTTTTCACCCAAGACCACCCTTCTCTTCTAGTCGAAGCTGCTACTTCTGTGCAACTGGTCTTGAATGTGAGCGGTGAAAATGTACCTGCGTTGTGGCCCTGTGACACAGGAGTAATGCAGGGATGAATTCACTGCTAGCGTTTCAAGGGAAAAAAAATGTGAAAGGGCTGTCTGTGTTTCTCCCTGCAGCCACGGCGAGGTCCAAGGGCTCTGCCCAGCTGCGGCACGGGGCTCAAGCCAAAAGGAGGCACATGCCAGGGATTTCGTGCCGGCACTAGAAAGAGGAGCCATCCTGTTCCCTGGATTGCTGCAGGACTGGCCAAAATGCCAGTGGGTCAGCGGGAGCCTGTGGCCCAGCAAGAGCCTGACTGGGAGAGCGCTTGGGAAAGCAAGAGCCCCAGAAGCTGTGGTGGGGCCAGGAACTGAGCAAGCACTGGTGCATTGAGGTGGCACAGCCACTGCATCCAGTGATGCTGGTATGAGACAGAGCCACATCTCCAAACCAAGTGCTGGCCTAGAGGAACGTGGCAGACCTCTCTGGGCCTGGCCTTATGGCAGTGTGGCTGCTGAGATGTGGGCATGCGCTCCTGCACTCACTCCGGGAGGTGCAATGTCCGTGTTGGATGGCCTTTGTCTCCTTCAGCATGGCTCAGTGGAGACTGCTTGTGAAATAGCAGGTGCAGATTATCTCTCTGTGCGGTATGAAGGAGTTATCACTGTAAACAGAGTTATTTCTAACAGAAGGAACAGTAAATGTTTAATTACAGATACATCCCCGCCTGGGCCAGGGCGGGCCTTTTTTTTTTTTAATTTATTTTAATAAAGTTTAAAAGCAACTCTGATAAACCTCTTGAAATGGTGGCCTGCACTTTTACATAATAACCTCACTAATAACCCACTTTCCCAATGTCTATATGAACAAGATAACAAGCCTCACCTTTCTCACCGAACAGAGTTTTTGCTTGCAGAGAAGATGGAAAGCAGCTTTCATCTAGCAGTTATTGCTTTGTAGCTGGTATCTCATTATCTGACACAAACAGATCCATGTGCTTCACTTAGTTTTAAACTGTTGATTACTAGATAAAAGCTTAGAGCTGCCAAAGTACCATGTCAACAGGAGACAGGTAATTACTGCTGCTCAGGCGGCAAAGGCTGGAGGGGCATTGCTGGGGGTACAAACACACAGCTGTGAGGTAGGGAGTAGGGGCCAGATTGTATTCTCTTTTGTCAGTACTCTTGCAATGAACATTGGACCCAGAACTAAAAGCATGAACAAACCTTTCGGGTCAGTCCTTCCCTCACCTCCAGATCACTAGGAGATCCACCTCCAGCTCACTCCACTCAGTGTGGCGCATTCTTAGTATTTTGTTCCAGTACAAAATAAATTCAAAGTACTGCCACTTTAATGTCGTATTATTTTAGATTCAGTTCAGGCCTGTTTGGATAAGAGTATTTGATCATTTGGAGCTCAAGAATGGAGAATCAGCTACTCCATTGCTTTTTACTTCTGACTCCAAAATTTCAGCATGTAGACAGTAATTTTGTGGGCCAATTATTCCTTACCCGCGGCAGGAAGGGGAATGATGGGCAGAAAAGATTTATGCGGATGGGATTCTCTTCAAAAGATTGGAAATAAAAGAGCAAGGACTAAACTCTATTATTAATTTGGACCAAAAACATGTGCGCAGCATCAAACCGCCAGAACAATGATGGGTAGGAACCAGGTGGACTTTATTAGAGAGTGAGGAAGGGAATGTTTCTACTTTCTAATAGCTGCCAAGAAACATGCTTGTTTCAGCTTTTGTATGAAATGATAGATGGGTGCTTTGAAGCCCAAATCTCTTTGGTTTTACTCCTCCTCCCTCTGGGACATGGGTGCTGTGGATATTCATTACTCATGTTGGAAACATTTGCCACAGGAAGCTTCTGGAACAGAGTTTGGAAAGCCATGAAAGCCCTGATGGCAGCTGAAAACATCAGTGCTGTCCCAGCACTTGCTGAATCAAATTATAAAGTGCCAAGACAAATTAATGTGTGTCTCTGAGTTATTCCCAATTTACAGAGTCCGGGGTTTTCAAGCTCCTTTCCTACCAAGAAAATCCTCTCTCCTTGAAAAAGAAACCCCATTTTGGTGGCAGCAGCTTCCAAAATCTGGAACTGTGTTTAGAGAAGATCTGCTTCACTCTCCAGTAAATTCCTTTCCGTCTATCCTTGCCCAGTGAAATAACTGGAATATTTGTGTTTGCATTTTTTTCAAATCAGTATTTCCAGTAGTCATAAAGCACAGGCTAACGATCCGCTTCTGCAAGGCTATTTGTGGGCTAATTAATATTTATAGACTAAAGCAAGGCTTGAAAGCTAATCTATGAACAATGTGTTTAATGGTCCTGAACATCTGGCTTGAGAATCTACGATATCACTGAAATAAAATTAAGATGCCTGATGTTAGAGTTTCAAAATAAGGGCGAGAAATACAATAAAAGCATAAAGCGAGGAGATGCAACTCTCTCTTCTGAGCTGTGGGCTGAAATAGTGCAAACTGCGAGCTGCTCCTATTCCCAGGATTGTGGCTGAGATAACCGGTGGTGCAGGCAACAAACGGATTTTGTCCTCAGGGGGAAAAGCCGAGCCAGCAGCAGTCGAGTCTCTGTTCCTGAGCTGCAGTTTGCGCTGCCATGGCCAGTGTCTGTGCCGTGTTGGGGCCACCGGGCTGGCAGAAGTGGCTGCCTTCCTGGGCGTCCCTCTATGGGGGCTGTTAGGTGGGAAATACTGGGGGCAACCACCTACGTTGACAACCTGGTTAGCACTTGTGCTCTGGGCAGATGTGCTTAGACTGAGCGTTTCTCATGCCCTAGGTTGACGTCCCCAGCCAACGTCTCCTCCTGTGGTGAGACTTGCCCTGGTGTCTCCCGTAGAAAGGACTGGAATATAAAGCAGACAGCAGTTTCTCCCCACTGTTCAGCAAATATCAATTACTCATCTGTTCCAGCATCTGCAAGGGTTTGAACAGCCTTCAAATCACTTCAAATCATTAATACCCCTTCTGTGGCTCATCTTAAAGAGAGAAAGAGACAGCCACAGCCCATATTCAAATCCCTGCTGCTTGAGGCTTATTTTCCTTCCCTGGGGTCAAAAAGAGGGTTTTCTGTGACTTTCCGAAGATTAGGATCTGGCTTTATTTCTCCCAACCCTGCGTAGAGAGTCCCCAGGCAGGGGAGTGAAGAGCGACGACAGCTGCCTCGTGCAGCTGCACTCGGCGAAGCTCGTGCGTTTTAGTGGCGATAACTCAGTTCCCTTGTTTAGCTGCGTCTGTGCTGGTTATGCTCTGCTGCCGCAGCTTTCTGCTGTGCTCAAGGCTTTTGACATTGGCAAATATCTCAGCTCCTCACTTCGCTCCTGGGTCTTGGCCTTCTGGCTGGCCGCATCCTGGTTTGTTCCCAGGATCTCTTTTGGAGTAGACTGACTTTTTCCTCCCAAAATGAAGCCTAGGTGAGCTTTGTTAAACTCAGAGACGGCCTTATGGATGGATGAATCCTCCAACCCCATCCCAGCAGGCCCCTGGTGCTCCCTCTTCCCTATCATCCCGTCATAGAACATGCAAACATAGCATCATGCTCTAAAAAAAGAAAAATCACTGTAGCAGGGCTGCAGCACAAACCTCACATTTCCTCAGGCCCACTGAACAGGAAGAAATACAGTAAAAAAAAAAGGAGGGGGGAATAATTCAAATGTAAAGCCATGGAGCACCACAGAGATCCTGGAGCAGCCCCAGGCAAACACAATGCAGAGCGGTCGGCCGCAGACAACCTGAGTTTGAGCCAGTCCATCTCGTTGCAGGGCTGGAGATTGTTCCCAGGGACTGATGCCTTTAGTAATGCTGTTGCAGCCTGTAGTTAAGTCTTTCTCACAGGCCAGGGAGCTACTTGCTCTCGGAAAGGCTGGTGGGGTGTGCAAGACTATGGGTAAACATTTGCAAAACAGTAGTCTGCAGTTATGGCATTCTGGAGGATACTAGTGGGTGGTTCAAAAAATATAATAAGGATATTATTATACCTATATAATTTGATTCTTTTAGTATAAAATAAGCCCCCAGTAAATGATATTTACTTGGCAGTGAAGAAATAAAATCTGGTTTGGCAGATGCATTTAGCACAACACTGGAAACTCAAGGGAAAAAATATTGCCTGGCTGAGTAAGCTGAACTGATGCTGAGAAACGGGGCTCTGTAAATCTGAATTCAACCCAGTTTTTCAGAGCTACTTACCCTGTCTCCTTCCACTGTCAGCCAACTGACAGAAATTCAATATTTTTCTTTTACTGAATGAAAACCATAGTCAGAAGCAGCCACTGGGTCAGAATCATATGCAAAACTCCTCTTGTGCTTTTGTTTCCTAATTGCTCTTGGAAGAATTTTCGGACTGGGCTGACGCAGTTGTGTGTGTGAATTTCCTGGCAAATAAGGAAGGTGACTGTGTCCAAAAGACATTTTAGAGTGTGAATTCACAGCCTTTCCATGTCTAATCAAGGAACGTAAACCATTAGCCACATGTTCTCCATTTCCATCACATTTTTTCACACTTAAACAAAAACATGCCAAAGAAAAGGTGCTACATTTTTTAATGCCCCCAAATAGGAACCACGGGAGTCCGTTAAATGCTGTGGCCATTTCCAGCATACAAATCAATTTTCCTTGTGGTGGTGAAGTGGTGAATAATGCCTGGTTTGTTTAAAGAAGCATGACTGATTTTGGATGAAGGATCCTGTCAGTTTGGCATTTTTCATTTTATTTATTGCACACAACCGTATAAAACCTGGTACTGATCTCAGTGCCAGGCTTACTAGTGGAAAAGCCGAAAGGACCGCATAACTCCTGGTGCAGCAAAGAGGTTCTCCTTCTGCAAGACACTTGCTGGACTCCTGAGAAATTATTTTCAATAACATGGCAGAGAAGGATTTCATCAGTTGGCATCTGCTGGCTTTATTTTTTCTTCCATTTTGCCTGTGTCAAGATGAATACATGGAGGTGAGCAGAAGATCTTATAAACCAGTGGCCAAAGTATTGCAAAGTCACCACCAGACTGGCCATAAAGGTTCCAGAAGCAGGGAAATATTGAAACAGCGGAGTCAACTTATAGAGTGGACTGTTGCTAATAGCACTTCTACAGACCAAAAAGTCCTGAGACCAGAGGTAGATGATGTAGAACTGACTACCTCAGATAGAGTCCAGGTACTCTGAATTAATCTTCTAAAGATAACTTTAAAGCTAATGAGATCTTTTTTTCTAAGATTACTAGTGATATATTTATGAAATGAATTTTATGAAAGCTGCTTACTGGTCTGTATCCTGCCAAGCTGCTTTATAGGATCTTTTAATGAACTAGTAGGACCAGCAGTGTTCTGGGACACTGGTACCAACATGCACAGCAGCCCGTTGTTTTGCCGAAACTATGATCCTATGCAATCGTGTGTTGTGATATACAGTCTCTTAGTTGTTTCAGAATATTTCTTGTTTAACACATTAGTATTAAATATGCTATTAATTCATTTGGAAGTGAAGGAAAATCATGGAATTTGCAGAGATATTTGGAAGGATTCAAATGGCAGTGAAAAAGTTTACTTATTAAATTATGTATAGAAAATATAGTCTTTTGAGCTTGAGACAAACAATGAAATTTTCAGTATTCACAATTATTATTCTAAGGAATAGCTTGAAAAAACAGGCACTAATGTTGTATCTCAGCTCCAAGTAGATGTAATAATGATATATCAAATTGACTTTCAGTTTCAGTGGAAAAAAACATTTGGAATGAAATGTTTTTAAAATCATGTGTAGTGCCTGCTTTTTAAACCGTAGCTCTTTTTATGCTGTTTACATGGCAATTTATACATTATAGTCATTAGCTCACAGCAAAGGGAAAATTGCATCATTTGATTATACATAAAATACTGCCATCAAAATTTAAAGGCAAAACTTTGAAGGACAGAAGATGAAGCTTTTTCTCACAGTAGGCAAAACTGTTTTGTTGCTTGGTATGTTTTTTAAGGCAACAACGTGGGTGTTTTGTTCCTATTTCTGATACAAATGATTGAGCTCTGTATAGTTTGCCTTTTGCCATTTGCGTTTTACAACTTTTTCAGATCTAACCATTATATTCTGAGTTCCAAAGATCAGGGACATGTGGATAAGCATTGAATAATAACCTGTTTCACGATAAGGAGACAGATTTGATTTTAGTACTGTGCTGGGCTTAAAGAACTGAAACACTTCCAAGTACTGGAATAGGTTTAATATACCGCTATGTTCCCTGTGTTTAAATTTTACAGTGCATTGCATTTTGAATTTCTTAGGCAGGATTTATATGTTCTGCAGTCCACTCAGAAAAATAGATATTTAACTTAGGTATGTTAAATTGCACTTACCGTATATAAGCAGTGTGAACAATCAGATATATAGTCCCATGAACCAGCTAGTGTATGTTTGTGTGTGTGTTCCTCTTTACTGCATAGGGACTTGTGCAGCTGCATACTACAGACCCTACAGTGGTGATAATTACAGAAGATTCTTCTTGACGTCAACATAATTTCAGATAATGCAGGATTTAATATAAAACTATGACTTTGTTAAGGGCCAAACTCTCCCTTGGACACAAAGTACCACTGTGATCTTTGGGGTGCCTGTGTTTCTCATCAGATAGTTTAGTACAATGTGTTTGGATTTGCCTGGTGGGGAAGAAGCTGTGACATTAAGACTGAGTCCAGCTAGCCTGAGTACAGCTGATGGCAGGTCATTCACCTGCCAGTCTGGTCCCTAGGAAGCAATCTTTGCTGGGGAAATGATGCCATTTTTGGCTTACTTAAATGAAATGGAGCATTAGCAGATGCACAACAGGGATAATCCATCACAGAGTGGCTGATGCAATCGGCATTTTCCATCTCGAGACGCTCTGGGTTTCCAGGCAGAGGGGGAGCAAAGGTGGCAGGGACATGTTTTAGGTTATAGCAAACCTCTTCCTTCTCCTTGAGCTATCTGGAAGCTGTTTGGCAACTGCAACAGCTGAAAAACACCCAAGCTGTGAATGGAAAGGTTTCGTCCCTAAAATCCCTACTTTCTTGATTGTCTTAGCCCTGGCTGGAGAATTTTACCCTTCTGCTAAAGTGTTTTAAACATCACATTCACTGTTGTGCCAAAGAGACAATAGTATTTATCTTTGCTGCACCGGCCAGTTTCCAGGCTGCTGGTAACTTCTGAAAAATATAAGGTGCATTTCTGAAGCACAAGAACTCTTAATGAATGATGAGAGCAAGACATGTTCTTCCTTCTTACGTTGCTTGAAAACCTTCAAATACCCCTGACCCTGTTGGCTTTTTGCCCTGAATTTTGGTGGTTTGTTTATTCCTTTGCAAGAGGAGGGAGGACTTTGGTGCCCACAGAGACAGGCTGTTTCTCTTTCAGCACAGGAAATGATTGATGGATGCACTTTGCTCTTCTGTATTGTCTTTGACAATATAAACAGAAACCCAGAAAATTAACCAGGAAATGGAAAGAGGGCTGGTTCTCCAATTCTGATTGCATCACAGGTTTAAATTAAAGGAATTTTATAGGCCATCTGCTCCCTAGAATTGCCTCCTACCTGCTAAATCAAAGGAAGTTCAACAAATATCCCCGGTGTCCTCATTTCTAGTTTTCCAACTGTACTAGGATATCAGTGTGGCAGATGCATTTCGTAAGCTGCTGAATCATATTCCTGTTCTGGAGAGCAATGCCAAAGATTCATCGTGCAATAAAATTTATGTACAAATTGATGCATAGGACCCCTTTGGCAAGTAGGCTGCAATTAATCTTTATGTCCCATTTGAGTGTAATTTTACATTACGTGCAGATGTTTACTTTAAATGTGTTTTTCATGAAGTCCTCTGTTTTTAGAGATTAGAAAAGTATCCTGAATATCCATTGTTCTTGGCAGCTGATTATGAACATTTTTTCTCCTAGTCGAAGGATTAGTAAAGATAATAAGTCAATATTACTTCACAGCTTGCAGAAGTAGTTGTTTTGAAGTCAGTGGAACTGTTCTAATACAACCAGGCTGGCAGGACTTGCTCCCTTTCACATGTAATAACCTGTTGAGCTATTGGAGAGGTAATGTCTAACTGGTTATGACCAGTACTAGTGTCTATTTTAGAACAACCTTGCTGGTTAGCTAACAACGCTGTTCGGGATTTCAGAGCTCTGGGTAAGGAAATAAGTCTTACCTCTTCAGAGAGCCTTATACACTTGAGTAAGACTTCTTTTTGATACATGAAATCCAGATCCCTGGACTCATCCTTTTCCTTACCTATAATCCACAGTTAGATTGTAGATAACTTGAAGCACTTGGATATTTCTAGGCTGGTACTATCTATTTGCTCTTGACAGATGCTTCTATAGTTGGCCTTCCTACTTATCAGGAATATCAAGCGCTGCCAGAAAAGCGCTGGAGATTTCGAGCTCAGCACAACATTGAAAATCAGCGTTCCAGGGAGTGCAAAACATTTGCATAACTCCAGTCCTCTTGCATTTGGCTCCCCTTCAAGAATGGAAAACTAGCTGAAAGCAGGGCTACTTCTTATCTCATATTAGGAAAGCTTTGACCAGTACATCTGGAGATTGTCAGTTTTGTTCTTGCTAACAACTGGGAGAGATTAGACAGCAAGAAGCATACAGATGGGTCCTCCAGGGACATATAGTCCAGCAGGTAGAACTCATTTTTTCTCATACAGTATAGCCGTTATCAGAATGAGGGTAAACAGCATAGGACTGACCAAAAACCCATAATCCAAAGCCCTTCTGGCCACGGGCAATTGTTAAAATTTCCGTGCCTCTTTGAATACAATGCCCACTTTCTGAGCTCTCCAGCTGGCCTTTTTCCCCATGGCATCTTTGCCATCAGCACTTCCAGCTCAACAGTGCACGCGTCTGATCCATCGGAGCCACGGCAGTATTTTGGTGGCATAAAAGGTGTTTTCTATTTCCATAAAATTAAATTCCTGAGCCTTTTGAAATTAATGACTTCTTGGGGGTGTGCTTGGCATCATCCAAAAGATGGGCAATAAGCTTCAATGTTTCAGATCAAGCCAGCTGGTGGCCTCAAGGGTAGGAATACAGTGCAGCTATGTGTTTATTTGGCTGTTCCCAGCTCACCAGGGGCTCATTTGGTGCAGTTAAACCAGTAGGTCTGCTTTAGGCAAGTAGTTTGAGGATGATGAAGAACAGCAGTGAAAAGAAAGGAAAGGAAGACAAATAGGAGAATGATTAGAAAAAAAGTAGCAGTCAGACTGGTGTGACTATTCCCCAGCAGATCTTAAGCACTGCAGATTTGTACTTCAGGTTAATAGCAAAGAATTGTGGGGAAAAAGCAACAAAGAAGGAAAAATGAGAAAGAGGAAGAAGGACCTGGACCTCTACCTCAGCTGACCCACTGAAAGCTTTGTAACTGCTAAATCAACTTGATAGCCTAGTTATAAAATCTAACCAGAACTGAATGAGAATCCATTAGTCTAAATATAGCAATTTGGGAAAGAAAAGCAGTGAAATAAAACTCTATTAAACTATTACTACAGTAGCATAATGAACTCATTAGTTATTTATGTTGCTATGTGTTTCATCATATAAACAGGTTTTCATGCTTACACAACCTCAGCTATAAATAATCAATCAAATGTCCATAACACTTTATTCATGGTCAGTTTGACTTTTCTCACGTATCTTGGCACTTTTGTAGGTTCTTCTAACTTTAATAACCTGTAAATATGCAACTCTGGGGGCATTAACAGGAATTTGCTGCATGGACAATTTTGTATATCTCCTTTTGGCAGTCCAGCCCAGTTTTCTCCAGGTTTAGCAGAGGACAGCTCACTGCTGAAGGCCAAAGGAAGGCCTTTGTTTCCTGCCACTTGTTGCACTTAGGCTTGTTTGTCAGCAAAGGGTCTTTGCTGAAATCTGGTGTCAGTGAAAAGCAGGTTAGGAACCTAATGATATATTCATCTAACTTTCGTTACTCAGTATTATTTTATTTCCAAATCCCCCATTTTTTAACACAGCAGCTTTTTTTTTCCCTCTCTACGTTCATATAGCTCTTAGAACACTTGAAGAGCTTTTTTCCTTAAGTCTTCCAAAAATAACATCTTTGGGGGAATCCAAGTTTGGTAGATTTCAGTTCAGATAAGAAGTGTTTTGAAAACTTACGCAAATATATAAACTGAGGATATATAATGAAGACCCTGTAACCAACATGCATATGATTGATGCATTCCATGAATGAGTTACTTAATACCTATTTTTGTGCACTTAGCCCCCACAAACGGGACCGCAGAATCCAGACTGCAGTACCTGCTGCCGTGGTGATTTTGGTGTTCGACTCTACCAAGGGCCCCCAGGACCTCCCGGGCCCCCTGGGATGCCAGGTAAAGATGTTTAATTGATTCTTGATCAGCATATATTTACAGGCTACACATTACAGGATATTCTATGAGAATGGTCTAAACATCAGAATTTGGGGAGAGATGTGGAAACGGGTTTTTCTGTAATTTCAGGGAAGATAGGGGAAGATAGGGAAGATAGTCTAACTGAAAAGTTAGACCCTGAAGTCTACTCCAGTGAAAAACAATTTGTTAATAAAATTCAGCTTTCAGAAATTCATACTGAAAGTAGTCTTCTTGCATTTCTAGGCCAAATTGCTCTCTCTTCTTAAAGCTGCATGAAACTTCCATTAAAGCTGGGAGAACTTGTTCCCTGGAGTTGATTATTGCTTTCACCATTGAATATCCAGCAATGCTAAATTATGCTGCATTTAGGAGTTTTTTTTATCTAGTGTACTGCAAACCAAATTTTTACAGAGACACATACGCTCTATTCTCTCATGGAAATTTCTTCTTCTACTCTTTTCATGTTGTCTTCCCTAACACAAAATAATTTATTTATTAAAAACACACACAGAATAACAGGATACATAAGAAAAGGGTGTAATTTGATCTAGTAATTGGTATGGAAAAAGATAAACCTGTAGAAGGCAAAAAGACAGTTGTACCTTGGTGTAAGCTTGTTATGGTGGCTACCTTCATGAAATGGTCGTTTCTAAAGCAGATATGTAAAGTAAATTAACATGTTACTGACTGATAGATTTGTCTCATCTTCCTAACCTTTTCTCTTCTGTTACTACAATAAAAATATTATTTCGTTATCCTTCTGTCTCACAAATTTACTGACAGTTAAGAAATAATAGATAACAATACACAAAAAATTGAAGCAGCCTTTCCTTAAGGTGATTTTAGGTACTATGAGAGGAACATTTTCCAGTAATAGGTACATCTGACTTACTATTCTAAATGAAGTGTTTAAAGAATTAGCTTCAGATTGCAAAAATATGAAAATAAATTGTTACTTTGACATATTTTGGTATTAGGCATAATTAGGTATTAGGTGTATTTGGTATTAGCCTGCTACGAGCTAGAATTTATTTCATGCATCAATGCTTTGTAAGAATAGTATTGATCATTGCAAATGTAGGAGAAATGTAACAGTGAGGCCTCTCATGCTGAAATATTGCTGTATGTATTAAAGAGTTGCCTTCTTGGAAGTGGGACAAGACTTTGTGTTATGCCCAGACTTTCAGGGCTGCCAGTCAGTACGCTGCTGTGGCCGCATCTAGGCACGGTGGAGACCCAGCTTTGCCCTTCCCTCATGCGAGAACGTGACTCAGTCGCACCCTCATGCTGCCAAAAGACACCACAAACGCTTGCTCCACGGCATCCTTCTGCAGCCGAGAATTTCTGTCTCCTTCATCTGCTGCATTTTGTATCGTTACACACCTAAAGGAAATGACAACAGCTGCAGTTCACTTGATTGATTGATTCAAATACCACTTTCACACTTCTGTTCTAAACAGAGAAGTGGTTCTTGTTTTATATGAAAGATCTTTCTTTTAATTTTTAAAGGCTATCGATTTCTCCATTCAAACAAAAAATGTGCTTATTTACATCTACCATTTAGCTTCCTTGTTTGATGTCAATTTTTTTCTCCATACAAAAACTTTGAAGAATCACTTACTCATTAGATTTGACCTCAAACAATACCGTTCTTCTTGCAAATTCACAATTAGAGTCACTAATCGCTTTTCATTAAAGAACAAGAAGAGCTGTGAAGGATCTCGTTTCAATTCAGGTAGAATTAGATCAATGATTACATTAACTAAACCCCTTAGTAATTAATTTAAAGGCCAGGATCTTGCTTCAGGTAAGCATAAGAATTATTCAGTTATTCTAGCCAGCTTTAAAATTTTGTCAGTCGCAGACATTTGCTCAGTAATTTCCTCAATAAACATCAGAAAGTAAGTAATACTACAGATGCAGAAACACCTTTCTACAATGACTCCCTTTATATGAAACCACCTCAGAAAAGCTTCATTATAGGACTTTTGTCTTTCTTTAAGTTTAGGAATGACCAGTCAACCCCTTCGAGGTGACCTGCACCCTGAGAATGGAGACCCTCAAATGTCTTTTAGCTAGTTTAAGGTTACCACCATTCTCCATTTGCAACATGAATTTTAAAGATAGCAAAATGTTCCTCCAAATTATCCTATGAAAGCAACAAGAAACAAGATTTTGCACACAAGGAAAAGCAGAAGCGCCCACATGGACCATCTGGTATGTCCCCACCGGGCAGTGGCCTTCGCTTTCCCTGAGCCTTGCATCCGCCAAGGTTTCTTCCTGTGCAACTGCCCGGTCCTACAGCTAGCAGCTCAGGGACCTGAGGCATCTGCAGTTCGTACAGCAACACCAAGGTCGCATGAGGGTTAACTCTTAAACATAATCGCATCTCCTTTTGGAAATTTGCTCGTCAAAACCTTAACCTTCACCTTAACCACACAGCTTGTCCGTTGGCAGCTCACTATGGGTCTTATGACACTGAAAAGCGTGTGTGTAGTGAACTGGTGGAAAAGAAACCCGTCACGGGTATCTGTTAGAATACATTATATAAAGTTCTTTAAGTCAAACAGAAAGCTGTTTCTTTTAAGGAAATCATGGAAACAATGGAAATAATGGAGCAACAGGCCAGGAAGGAGCCAAAGGTGAGAAAGGAGACAAAGGAGATATGGGACCGAGGGGAGAGCGTGGCCATCACGGACCCAAAGGCGAGAAGGGTTACCCTGGGATTCCCCCAGAGCTGCAGGTACAAAATCTCTGGCTCGTGCTGTCTGCAGCAGTGTTTGGGTTAGGGAGGTTATGAAGCTTTCTCCTCTGCAAAGCTGTGCCTAATTACCATAGGATACTTGCGAAGCAAATCCATCTGTAACAGAATACACTATAGAGTGACATATATAGCACTTGTCAGGACTGAGAAATGTGCTCTGCCAGATCTTCCTGGAAAAGAAAGACACCAGGGCTTAGCCTTTCTTCAGAGTAAGAATCCAGCTGCAAAATGAGCAGGAAGAAGCATATACCGTTCCCTTTCAGGGCAGAAAGCCAATATCTGGATCATTAACGAAGAGTAAATGGCACCATTGTTTTCCCATTAGGCTAGATCACATACCTAACTCCGCACTTCCTAGGCCATACGAGAATAGTAAAGGCGTCACTCAGGCCCACGCTTTTGAGGTCTGCCAGGCCCTATGAGATTTGCAGCGGCATATATATCCAAATCCTCAAAAGTATTGGGTCAAAACCTTTGCGTGAAGTCCAGAGTTTTTAGGTTTTGAAAAATGCTGCCCAGCAACTATCTGTGTTTATTTAAAGTATCCCAGCACCTTAAAAATGTTGCTCTGCATTACGTGGGTTATTTCCGTACAGCTGCCATGAGGGAGAAGCAGGTAGGTTCTGCCTATGATTCAGCTATCCAAAAGCCAGGCGAGCATGACGTGGGTTCAGAGTTGAGCTGTCAGCTCTGCTGAGGGATGAGGTATATTTGTTTGGGCTCGCTGCTGTGTCAACCTAGCTAAGTTGTGCATGGCTTTTGGATTAGAGCTTCTTCATATCTTCAGAAAAAACATGAAAATTAACTAGTCACTAGTAAACCAACATGTGTGCAATGGGGGAAAATAGCTTTGGATTTCTTGGCATTGTATATATTTGAAAGCTCAGCCCTAGGTTGCATGGAGATGGGATAACTGCATGGAATAAAATTCAGCCTGAAAATGATTTCCAAAATTAATGGGTTTTGCAATACTCTTGCAATTCTAAAATGAGCTATCAAGTATTTCTCCTAATATTAAGGTAGTGGCAGTAATAATAAGTAAGTTAAATACTGAACAGTTAAAAATGATCAAAATAAAGGCTCATATTGCAATACTTGCTTTAAAGTAAATCTCTTCACTGTATTTAACAGACATGCTTAAAAAATCTTGACCCAGTAAGCACATAGTTTCTCGTCAACATCGTGCTTTTAGAGAGGGGATAGGGAGAGGAGAAAACACTTTTGAATACAATGCCATTAAGCGCAGGATTATTTTGAAAGATAGCTGTGTCCATGTTGATCTGCTACTTCAAAATGGGACATAGGGAGAAAAGACACCTTTTTCAACTCTTTTGGTGAGCCCAAGAAAAGTAGCTCGGGGTCAAAGGGAATGTGAATTGGAATCTAGACAAAAAGTAATAAATTCCATCAAGCTGCCATTGCAGCTGCTTTGCTTTAACGCATGATGAACTTTGACATGATCCTGGCTAAGAAACAAGAAGTTAACAGTTTGCTGTTATAGTAAATGCATACATGCAGGGATAAGGAAAATAAGCCCAGGCTTTGAGCTCACATCTGGTGCTCCTCAGATTTCTGAGCAGATGATAGCTTACGATTTCCAGTGTCGGATCCGAACTTGCATTTGATTTTGTCTGTTCCAATTTCATTCTCGTTTGGATCTGAAATCAAAAGAGCATTTTTTTTTCTTTTTAATTCCTATGTAGCTGAAATCTCATGAAAAATCACTTTTGTGAGCAGTAACAACTGTAACTGAACACTTTTCATCTAAGAAGTTGAGAGATAGAAATAAAATGTTTGTCCCTTCGTAGTCTTCTGGCATTCAGGTGCAGTGGCTCTGCTTGTGTCCCCTCCACCGACAGTCAGCTGGGGGACCTCAGCCTCGCAGACGGGATGGCCCCTTTCCCTGCCTAGGTAGATGGTTTTGCACTGCTTCCTATGAAATATTTTCCACAACTGATGCATCTCACTGCAAGAAGGTTAATAGGAAGTTCAAGCACAGTTTTCACGTTCTTAGTTTCCTCTTTTGATCTCCATCACCCTCTGTCATTACTGAGGGATACAGAGCACCTGGTAAGAGAGAAAAAGCAGTGACTGCTGAATCCCAGTCACTTTACTTCTAGGACACCTCTAATAAAAATGCTTCATGCATCTCTGAAAGTAGTTAACAAGAAATACTAATGTGTATGGATTTTTATCATGCACGATTTATTTCACACTTTCAGTTAAAAGCAATATCCAGCTTACATGCATTGGGGAACATATAAAAACTAATTAAATTATTTTTATGCAAAACACCACATATTTCAGTGCCACTTTTCTATTGCATCATTCTAGAGAGAATTTAAGGTAAATAAAATCCCAAACTAAGGTCCTGACCTGCAAACACTTGCCCATACACTTACTTTTACAGTTATGAATAGCCCAATTGAACGTAAGGAAGCTAGTCCTCTTCCAATTTCATTCAATGGGAGATTTGTTACTAGAGTTTAATGGCCTTGGATCAGACCCTAGAAGAACATCTCTGTCAGGAAAATAAACAGACCGCAAATACGAGATGAAATTCTGTAGCTGACTCCTTATATTTGCGCATTTTATGAATAACGGACTAAATAAGAACTGCATTTGTGTAGGTTGCATTCATGGCTTCCATGGCTACACACTTCAGTAACCAGAACAGTGGCATCATCTTCAGTAGTGTTGAAACCAATGTCGGCAATTTCTTTGATGTCATGACTGGTAGATTTGGAGCTCCAGTGAACGGTGAGTGCTTGCAAAACAAAATAACATAATTCTGGGAGCTATGGGGAGAAGTGTGGCTAATAGTGATGAGAAAATAGTAGTGCATTTGCACAAGGCGCTGATGAGGCTCATGGGAATAGCCTGTGTAGCTCTTGCCTTCAGGAAAAATGAGACTGGAAACACAGCAAACCAGGAGAAGGCTCGCCAATGGCATTAGTGCTGGCCTCAAGGCAGGAGGAGGATGCATGGCCAGTGGTGCGGAGGAAGCGGGACAGCCTGCATTTAGACCTTTAGCGCTTCTGCTGCCATGATGAGAAAGCCATGGCCTCACATCACAGCGTCAGCTCTGCAGTTGCCTTCTCCTGCCTCCTGTCACCCCCACTGTCCCTGCTTTCCCCTGCGCCATGAGCTGGGCCAGATGTGGCTAGAAATGAGGCATTACAGGTTTTCCTGAGTCATTTTTCATCTGTGTCAATCCCCCAATTCACACAGCTGTGGTGCGGATGGATGGCCACATGCCTAACCAAAAATACGTCTAAGCAAAGCCTGAGATCACCGTCCTTCACCTGGCTTTTCTCACCCTTCCACTCATTTACGTCCCGCTGTGAAAAGCGACATTAGCATAAATGAAAGTCAGGCCTCCAAGCTTGCTGTGGCACTTGTCTTGCAGACAATTAGGAGCATGTGTGATTTTCCTCACAGATCTGCCTCCCTTTGAGATTAAGGTATATGTGGGCATTAAACTTTCACCCATAACGATTTAATGACTTTGATACTAATGCTAAGCTCACAGCACCCAGAACGTTGCAGGGTTAATGCTACAGCCCTCACTGCTGAGGATCCAGAAGTTTCTCCTCCGTCCTATGGGAGCCTCATAGACCTCGTGACATGTAACGTGGTTGTACTGATGGCATTGCCAGTGCCTTTCGAAGAGCTGAATAGAAAAGGGTGAGGGCAAGGGGTGGCCTGTGCAAGGGCAGAGAGCAAAGGCTGCGTCCGTGTCATGCAGGACGCAGTGTGGCAGGCACGCAGCAGCAGGTGCTGCTACAAGGCTCGTGCCCTGTCCGACCTGGGATGGCCTCTGGGGCTGAGCAGGAGCTGCCCTGGAGACTGCCCTTTCGGGAATAGGTGGGAGCGGGAGAGCAAGGAGGAAAAGGTGAAAGAGGGGTTACTAGGCTCAGCCTCCGGGAAACTTCCGTTTTGGAGAGACGGAAGGGATGAGCGGTCCTGCATGTGCCCAAGGGCCATCACTTCTCTGGAATGGCATGTGGCTGAACCCCTGTCATTCACAGAACAAAAATTAGTCAGATTTTGGCACACTGTAAGTGGAAGTGAAATACCCATTGACGACTGAAAGGTGAATTTGGCTTCAGCTGTTAGGATTTCTAAGCAAGAAGCACCAGCCTGTAGCATGACTACCTCATTCTATGAAGCAAACACGTTATAAATGTTTAACCTTTTCAGGGGTGTATTTCTTTACCTTCAATATGATGAAACATGAAGATGTGGAGGAAGTGTACGTGTACCTAATGCATAATGGCAATACTGTTTTCAGCTTATATAGGTAAGTGGAGAGCCAGGCCATTTTCACTGCAGAAGACATGTTTGCACAGATGTGAATTCTTGCTTACGTTGCAAGAAATGTGAAATTGTTCCTTTTTGGAAGGAAAACAGTAGGGTGAAATAAACAACAAAAAAATTGTATTGTATTTTGCCCTACTCAACTTGCAGATTTGGATCATATCTGCCACAGAACATGTGCCTAAAATTTAGCCTTGATTAGAAGTTCCTCAAAGTTTGAGGAAAGGAATTAACATTGCAAATCAGGGTTTGAGTCCTGTGGTAACATGCTGTTACTCTGTTAAAAACATACCTCCATCTTCGTTCAACCTGTAAGAGAAGGGGAGTAATGCAGTATGCAGCAATTAATAATAGTCTTGTTAAAGATTAGAGGAAAGCAGGTTACTTTAGAAGAGAGCAGTAGTACTACAGTAGTAAGGAGTAAGTAACTACAGGAGTAAGAAGCAAAGGAGTAAAAAGCAAAAGCTCCATTTACTGGCTTTATTGTTAACATATCTTGATTAAAAAGTTTTTGAATTGTTTGTGTTACTTGAGAATAATGAAGAATAGGATACACTTTTAGCATAGCAACTTGTGTAATGGACAGGTCAAGAGCTAGTAGCCAGATTAATACCTGGGGAAAAAAAAAAAGTATCTTTATTATTATTCACTTAATACCAACAACGAGCCGGATGCCAAAATCAAGCTTTTTCTTGAGCCTTCATAAACAGACAGAAAAGTTTAGACTCATCACACAGTATTTTAGGCACCTTGAAGACAGCAGATTCATTTAAGTTGTCTAGGCTTCTTCAACAGCCAGTAGCCGAGGCACCTCCAACGGGTGTTTCGTTCCCCCTAAGATCTTACAAAAGAAAAAGTACTCAGCTATTTTTCCTGAAGCATTAATGTCAGAAAAGACAACAGGTGGAAGAAAGGAAACCAACACACATGCAAAGTCAGCAGGTTAGCCCACGTTGGACAGATCTAAGTTCAAGCAAAGGGCCTTAGGCCGGAGTGAACTGTCTACTGGCAGCAGGGAGTGCAGGTACTCAGCTTACATGAGACTCCTGACCGGCGGGCATGCAAAATTAGCTGAGATAAATCCAAGGGAAAAGAGCATAATGCGAAATCCAGAGCGCTGTGAAGAATGAGTAGAGTTTTATTTTAAACAATAAATTTGCTTTGGTGCTCCACATAAAACCCGAGTAAGTTAAACTTCCAGAATTTCAGAAAGGAAGGAAATAATGCACTGAAATAAGGTGCACGATTTGACTAGTAGATCAGATGCACAAAGATGCCCAAATTTTCAGGTAAAGCAGATAAAAGATGTTAGCAAACCTTGGAGGGAAGTTTTGCTCAGGATAGCAATGTGCTTCCTTGGATTTGTTTTTTTTTTTCCAAGTTATTTGCTTGGTCATTGTCAATAAAGAAAGAGCTGAGCTGTTGTAAAATATTCATCCTTAGCTATGAATCAAAAGGGAAAGCAGACACTTCAGGAAACAGTGCGGTGCTAAAACTTGCCAAGGGAGATGAAGTTTGGCTGCGAATGGGAAATGGAGCCCTCCACGGGGACCACCAACGCTTCTCCACTTTTGCTGGGTTTCTTCTTTTTGAAACGAAGTAAAAAAAGAAACAACCAAAAAGATATTCATCTGAGGAAGCTTCTTTTTTGAGCTAACATTTTTCTCTGGACTACGGAATAGCATTATGGTGAAAAAGATCAAGAAGGCTTGTTTGGATGCAGCGCGTTGCTATTTGTGTATCAGAGATGAGCTGAATACATTGGGTAGTTGACACGATTACAGATCCGCAGAAGATATATTGTCATCTAGGTTGCATCTAATGGAGTATTAAATGTTGCTATTGCTCTCTTCACCAACGTAACTGAAAAAGAAAGGCAAAGGAGTTTAACATGATTTAGAGAGCAGTTTGCGCAGTTAAGTCAATTTTGTCTGTAAATACACTTAATTGTACGTCAGGAATTGAACAATGGATTCATGGTTTTTTGTTCCTTTATTCAGTCCTTTTTACACGTTCATTTAAGCTTGCATTATGGAAACAGGCCTGAATGAGTTATAAGTAAGCTCAGCTGAGAGCAGATTTACAGGAGGAAGGCCTAGAAAGAACTTTACAAATAGGAGAAAAAATGTGAAAATAAAGATGTCAAGAATTCAGGTTTATTGCATTGCCATCTCAAACCTCTGATGATGCATTTGGTGTCATTTTTTGTAGATTTTTAGTACATATTTACTCAAAAAAAAGAAAATGAGTGGTAGTAATTCTTGCCTTAGTAGCAGCTTAAAACTAAGGTAATTTAGCCTTCAGGGTGCAGTGGTCAGACAGAGGAACCGTATGTTCCTTCCTAGCCTTTAGATTTTTGAAACCTGATGTAGTTGAATGCAGGGTGTCAAGGCAGAGCCATAGACGCTGGAGAGGTTGCGAATTTGTTGGCAGCACACACAGAGAAACACGTATTTTGTGGAGTTTGAAGCTCTTTTAGAAGGATATACATTGTTATACTGCATATTTACTTAACAGTGGAGTTGTTGATACAGTTTGCTTACCAGCCTGCCAAGAGCCAGTATTTCAGGAGAAGAAATTGCAGCCTGGCAAAGCAGTAGCTAACCCAGTTCAATATTTAACTGGTAAAAGGAAACATTGACTAGCTTAGAAGTTCTGATCACAGTAAACTGGATCGTTCTTCAGCATTATTTGCTCTCCAGTTTTTCAGAGTTTGGGTACCTGAAATCTTATCTTGCTCTTTTTTATTTAAGAATGATCCTATCAGCACCAAATAGGCTACACAAATACTGAGGTTTGAACGTGTGCATCTTCCGCATATTCTGGCTCTCCACACAAAAACGAATGAAAGATAAATTACATTTTAGCAGGGATTTGCACCAGACATTCCGTGACATTAATGCATAACAAGCAGGTGAGGTTAGAACAAATGCAAACTCTGTTCAATATTTATTTGAATTTCTTTTATATAGGATAAAGATACCATTACCAGTACAACGGAGTAAAAGAATCAAAATATGCCCTAAGGATCTGTATGTCCTTGTACACATTCTTAGTTTGTGTAAACAACATCTTGTGATGAAAAATACATGCTAGTACTTGATGATTAGGACTTGTTATTTTTTCATTTTATGCATCAACCACTGAAAATATTAATGAACTATCCTCTGATAGTTTATTTTACTTCATTTTCTTTTTATGAATTTGGGGTAGGTTTGCACCACATAGACTTTCAAAACCTGAGACCATGTTATTTCAATACGCATTTTAGTGACATTTTGGCATGCCTTCAAACTAAAATCCACCCACTAGGTAATCAGATAATGTTATTCTTTTGGAATTAAGTGCACAAAGCCTGTATGATATACAGCATAATGAGCTAACTTTCACGGTAAGAAAAATCTTTAAAAAAATTATTTCTTGTTGTGTTAGGAATGTTTGCTTACTGTGTAAAACATACATTTACCCAATAAAGTTTAATAGTTGTAAAACTGTAATGGTTTGTTCACATCTATATTTACTACAACATATCTGAGATCAGCCAAGGACCTTTACCACTAGGAAACTATGGGGATATGTCCTTTACACGTATTTCCTAAGCATTCATTTTGCTACTGAACTGGAGAAAGCCATTACTAAGGGTCAATAATGTATTTATTTTGTATATACACCCATACATACACACACACACACACACACACACACACAGGCACATGCATATGTGTGTGTGTGTGGATGTATATGTATATTTAAATTTATATTGTAAGGGGGATTTAAATTAAATCTCCATTGGGAGCTTCATTTTCCTTTATGGTATGGCCTCTTAATTCATTCTGGTCAAAATAAAGCACTTACAAACTGGTCACGTATGGTTCACTTTAAGGTCCTTTACATTATCTCTGAAAATGACCATGGCATAAAAGAACACCAACTTTTGCCATTCTCATTTTATGTTGTTTTTGCAAGTTTTGTACACCTTGCCCTGCTAAGATAGGGTGGAAGGCAACTGAAAATCAGCCTGAAAGTTTCTGACAAACCATGGTTTGGTTCCAAGGTTAAAGCTAAGAGGTTTTTATAAACAAGGTTCATCCTTCCCAGTATTCATATGACATCTCTATGATATTTTCTCCGTAAAGTTATTGCATGCAATCTCTGCTGATTGTTGTGATATCTTACAAATAAATTGTTAACTTAGATATTAATTTTAAAGGTCCTTCAAAATATAGCTGTTATGTAAAAATACCTGTGTGTATTCCTATCCCTCAAAATTATTTTATATTCAGTAAATCAGGTGAAATGCATATTTTTTCTCAGAAATATTTATGAATAATAGTTGTCTTTTCATTGCAGTCCATAACTGAAGCCACTTCTTTAGCTGATGCTCAAAAAAATGCGTTCTCTTTCAAAGACTCTGGTCCTCCGTTTTGATATAGGTGATATCTTGTATGGTTTATGTGAATCAACACCGCCTACCATTTGCAACAAACTCCTTAGGTCCCTGAAAAGTCATTAAATTGGAACTGAACGGCCTAAATTCAGGAGATCAATTTGGTCTAAAGAAAAAAACAAAAAACACACTTAAGGTCAGATGTAGGCATCTGACATACCCTTAGGAATTTGTGTTGCAGGTAGAAAAACCTCCTAGAAACTCTAAAGCTGTATTACAGGGCATACTTAATGGTTTCTTGTCTTCGCTGAGCTGACTCTATGTCTCTCTCTCCAGCCCATGAACTCCTGGCTCTGACCAGGCGAGAGCAGCAAGCCTCCTGCTTGGAGGGTGACAACCTGCCTCCGAGGCAGGTGCTGCCATTGCCTGTGGCCGCGAGCCCATAGCAACCCCATATGAGCCCAGCTCTGTATGAAACATCAGCTCCTGCTCTTGGTCCTCCCTTCTTGTTCTTACGTTTTTATCGTCTCTTACATCAAACCTACAAACTCTGAACTTGCCAAAAAAGAAGATTCAGTGGGAAGAAGTTTGCAGGGGAATTTATAAAACTAAAGCAAAGGGCAGCGTAGACTTCAAGTGAGAAGAATGAAGATGAATACAAGAAAAAGGCAAATATATGTTGGCGTGGTCCCTAGTGGTCTGGCAACGCAGAGCAAACGTATGTCTGGAGGAAGTGCTCATAAAAAACTGGCAATTACCACAACAGTATAAAGCATTCAAAAAAGTCAGTTTTATTTGATATGGGACCAAAGACCAAATACACTTCAACTGAAAATGTGTTCATTGCACAGAAAGGCCGGTTAAAGTTGCCATTTTCATTCACTCTGCAGATACATGTGAAAAAAACTGAGTTTAATCAAAAAAACAGTAAATTTATGACAGATCTAAAATAAATAGTTCTTTACTGCACATCTTTAAGTCAAGTAGCACTTTTCTAAAGGAAAAATGAGGAATACACTCTTCCCTCAGATGTTTTGTCTTCCCCACGGAATTTTGCACTGAGGTTCCACCCTACTGCTTTTTGAAGCAGTTTTTGTTAAAAGTGTTTTTTATTAAAAATGATTTTCTTATACTAAACTGGTATTATTAAAAAAGACATTTTGTGCTCAGAATCAAGTCAGTACAAGGACAAAATATGTAGGGAGAAGGAGTGGGTATCAGCTGCCAAATGGTGTGTAAAAAGGCCCATGGTTCTTAACTACGGTGAATCAATAGCAAAATGCTTTTGTTTCGCAGTTAGCTCTTCTTCAGCAACCAAGAGGAAATGAACAATGACAGTATTCAGTTCAGATTTCAAAATCTTAGGCAAGAGAAGGGAGCATGCAAAGCAGTTGCAGATGCATGTTCTCTCACAGCCTGCTCCAGGCTGGGTATCATACTGAGACACCAAAGAAAGACAAAACCTCCACAAACTATCTTCATAAATGCAAAGAGCTCTACACAACGTGCATTGTCGAGGTCAGCTTCTGCTTTGTTCTCTGAAACCACCCCGTTCATACAGCCACCCTTGCACCCAAGGGTGACAACACCTTTACTCTTTGGGCAGAACCACACGGTCCTAGCATGAGTGAAAGCATCTGCAGTGCCACTTTAATTACCGTTATCAGGTAGACTCCTCAAGGGAATTGTGGGCACAGGAGTAGCAGCAGGGAACAGCTTCATCCCCCAAGTCTCATCCTTCTGCTCTCTGGTTACATCGATACTAATAAACAAAACAGTGCCCGAGTCTGTTCTCTGGCCCCAAGTTACCATCTGGCTACATTAATGCTAATTAAACTCTCTCAGCCTCCAAAGTAGAGTATCTGCTTGCAAAACTGTCTGTTGGGACTGACCCCTGGCCTGTGCTAACTTCTGAGTGGTGCTAAGAAAAGTTTGGGAGATAGCTTCTTGTCATGGGTCAAAACCACGGTTCTGATAATGTCTCTTATTGTTCTGGTAATGCAGCAGTATAACCCATCAATTTTGGCAAGGTAGCGCTATAACGTAGCAATTTCCCACATCTGGAAATTCGTGCTGCTGTTTAATTCACTGGTGTGTACGTTGTCCTTCAGTACCTTCTCTCCTGAACAAGGAGGGGCAGGCAGTGCACGAAGAGACTACGCTGGCTTCATGACAATGGCAAATTCCTCCCTCTTGGGGGAATTTTCAGCTGTCCAGGTCCTTGTTTTCTACCCCTGGATCGAGAAAATCCAGCTCATTGATCCTGCCATGGAGACTGTAAAGTTGACAGCGGAAGAGGCTCCATATTGTGCATCTGCATTTGAAATGAGACAGGGAAAGGACCATGAGCACACACACAGATTAACAAAACCCATGTAGTGCAGAAGAGATTTCTTGTGTTAATTGGCAAAGAATTGCACAACTGGAGTTTTATCCTTCTGCTTTTCTGAAAAAATCCAGCAGGCTTGACAAATTCCACAAAAAACACCAGTGTTTTAAAAGAATCGCATTGTTACAAAGCCAAGACTGGAATACTCATGCTAAAACCATCTTGGACATCTTAGCTTCTGTTTCTTCTGAATGTGCCTCACAATATGTTCTTCCCATTATATAGTCATATGCTATTTCTTAGTCTCATCCTGCAGCAGTAAGATGGTGCTTGCTGAATAAGGCATGGACCACATCCTGGAATGTGGTAACAGAAGACAAATATAGAACAGCTTCATTCAGTGACTTCACCCAAATGTATAGCTAATGAAACACAGCCACTATAGAAAATGGAGCATATAATGT